GTCGCCGCTGCCGTCCGTCCGCCCGGGGGCCGTGAGGCGGCGGCGGTGGAAAACCGGGCCGGGCTCCGACGGCGGCATCCCCCCCGCTGAAGCCGCCTGTCAGCGGGCGCTCGGGCCTCGCAGCGGGAGACAGGCCCGCCCCGCTGCCGGGACCCCCGGGGCGGGGTCTGCCGCTGCCTGGGCTGCCGCCTCTCGGGGCCTCCCCCGCCCCGTCCGTAGGTGGCCCCCGGCCCGTGGGTAGCCCCCCGGTGTGTGGGTGCCCGTTGGCTGGGGCGGGATCGCCGCCCTCGGTGAATGTCGCCTTCAGTCCTGCGACCCGGGAGGAGCCGGGCGTTGCGGGGCGACATGCGGGGCGGTCTCCCCCTCGGCGTGTCCCGAGTCCGGTACCCGGTGCCGGAGGGCACCACACGGGGCTCCGCGCTGCTCAGGTGGCTCTCTCTTGCTCTCAGGGACGGCAGGGAGCGGTGACTCCCCGGGACTGATTTTGTCCCCCCCGGGACTGATTTTGTCCCCCCCCCGGTCCAGCAGCTTGGCCATGTAAAAGTTTGGGAAAGGCAGGTTGGGTTTTTGTGGGTGGCATTTATCACAGCATCCCGCAGGTAACGTGTCAGCACCACGGGCTGAATCAGTGCTGTGACCGCAGTCTCAAGTTTGGACATTTGGAAAAAGAGAAAATCCCCTTACATGGCATAAATAAAGCTTTAGCATCTAGAATTTGATGGAGTATTTGACCAGCTTTATTGAAGGGCTTGGATTTTTTGACTGAGTTGGTTGTGGTAACAAAACGGCCAGTGAGAATTGGCTGTCAGGAATTACTGCTGCTTCAGGATTGCTTCTCTGGCTTGATTTGCTCTTTAGGCAACTTAAAACTCCTTCTGAATTAGGCGTAGCTAATATTTGCTTTAGCAGTTGGCAAGTTCCTTTAGTAAATCAGTGGATTAAGTGCTGGACATTGAGAATGCTCTTGCGGATAGTTAGATACAAATGCAGAACTTTTTTTCCTTTATTTGGTACAGCTACTTCAAAAACTCATCAGGACCTATTTTTATCCCTACTGTTAAGGACTGAGAGAGAAATTATAAATATTTGTCAGCAGCCTGTTGCACGGGAATCCAAACTACAATAGTAAACTGATGCACGTTTGGCAGGCTTAGAACAAAGAGGCAGCTGTCTGAATTCCTGGGTCTTGCTCCTAACACTGTCATTTTAACATCACCAATAAGTACTGTGAAGCTCAGGAAAAGTTTTAAAAGTGTTTTAAGATTGACACTGGTAAAATGTTTTAAGTCCAAGAGACGAGTAAGGCAATTTCCTTGAAATACCTGGGGTTTAGTTTCAAGAATGCAAGTGTATTTATTGAGCACAGGTTGAGATACAGACTTTTATTTAAAATAGCTGACACATTTTCTCTTTTCTAACTCATAAAGAATAAATCATGAAATTAAGACATATCTATTATTGTGTAGGTCTCCTGTTACTAAATGAAATATGATGTATCTGACTGATATAACGTACTGGTGCCGTGTTGGTAGTTTGACATGACTCTTTGGAGCAAAAGTGCTCCTGGGGAATGTTCTTAAGGTGGGCCTTTGACATCTTGAAGCCTTTCGGTGCTTTTGAAGCAAGACTTCAAAGCGACTTGTCAGACTCCTGTGTATCTAATGATAGTGTTGACTTGTAACTGTGTGCCTGCAAGTACTGGAATCCAGATGCTGTTCTAGCTTTTATCTTGTTCTAATGAAGGAACTGATCCACCAACCAAACAGAAACCCCTCCAACAATAAGTACTAGAAGCGGTACTACGACACTTGGCCAAACAGAACAGGGGTCATCTTTCTTCTGTGTGGTAGTTAAACTGGTGCTGCTCCTGATACATGCTAATGGGTATTGAGGTAAAGTTTCTCACGTGTTAGCCCATCTGCAGTGTACATTTGCTTTCAGGTTTGAATCCAGGTAGTGACAGGAGCTTCCCAAAAAGTATAAATCCTTACTAGTCCCCCGATACAGCACGTCTCTGTAGGCACCTCATTGCTTGTACCAATTCAGAGCACGATATCATAATAGGCCCGACTCCATAGTTTGCTTACAGTATAGAGTGTGGAGAACAGAGTTAAAATGAGTGAAAGCTTGCCTACTTGTAAAAGTCCCAGCGTGTTTGAAAATGCCTCTTTCTCTTCTGTATGTTCCTGCACCTGTGTAAAGATAGAGCTAAATCAATGAAGTTGCTTTCTGCCTTGTGGATTATCATCTAACTGCATTCAGAGATGGAATCAAGATTCCTTTTTTTCCCCTCATTATATCTATTGGAAAGCTGTTTGTGAATTTTCTTCCTCCTGCAGCCAGAAGCAAGTATTAGTTTCCAGTCTAAATTAATTTAAGCTCTATTTATATCTATTTGTGGCAATCTTACTTCTTAGCTAGAATAGGTTTCTTGGTACCCTCTCTGACATATTTTTCAAAGTCTGATCCCTACCAGCCTGTTTCCCTCGCCTCAACAGGCTGTATTTCCTTTGCCGTATCTGAAGGAAATGGCTCAGCCCGCCTTTGCAGGGCTCCCAGTGTTGCTCAACTGAGAAGGGAGGCCATGTTAAGACTCGTTGGACGCAAGCCCTGGGAGGCACAAGATAACAATCTTACTTAGAAGAAACAAAAGAGTGCCCACCTTACATCGAACAATAGGTCATCTTGACACCGTTAACAGGCAATTAGCGCGTGCTAAACTTGGAAACTGTTAACCGACAATTAGTGGGTGCTTGGGGAGTCAATCAATCATCAAGGGACGTGCTATCCCTTGATCTGAGTGTATTGTTTTTAATATGTATAAAAGTAGAAGAGACAGCAACAATAAATCGACAACTTGCTTGCATCAAGCAGTGTCCCGTCTCTCAATCGCAGCACGTGTCATAAAACTGAATTTATGAAATTTAATAATAGGAGAGCCCAGCTCTTCTTCATGCTTGTTTCCATTTGAATTAATCTTTCTTGTGTAATCTGGTGATTTGTGTTTGCAGCGTTCGAGAAAGCCTCATGCTCAATGCCACTGATATCTCATTCGATGTACCCTAAAATTACAATTATCTTCTTTGTGTCCAATTTTTACATGTTTCTTATCACTTAATATACTGAGGTCCTTTTTATCCTATGGTGATTCCTCACTAAGAAACCTAAAGCTTTTAGGAGAAATTCCTATTATCCTTGAGTGCATGACCATGTACTTTGTCCTATTACCCCACTCCATTTTTGTTGGTGCAGTTCTAAAGATCACTCAGTTCTTAGTAGGATGTCTCTGTTCTTTCTCCTTGGATGGTACGTGCTGCTTCTGAGTCATCAACAAACTTCACTTCTCTCAGTGACCTGAACACGACTGTAAGTGTGGAATTTGTCTGAAATGTGATTCTTGAAACCAGAGCAGTAATTTTCTGCCAGGTCACTAACCTCTATCATTGACTGCTGTAATTTCCCTGTTAGCCTATTGATTTCTAAGTCTACACATCTTTCCATACTCCTCTTTTTCCTTTGTTCCCCCCCATTTTTCTCTTCAGCTCTGGCACATCATAATCATTGTGCACTTCATGATCATGTTTGTCGATCATGCTGTACTTTAAACAGTCAATTATCATACCAAGAAATAGACTCAATTTCTCTGCATTTTTCTTTGGTATTTTTTTTAGGCTGTAACTCTTGTTAGGTGTGTCTCATGGACTTCAGGGACTTTTGCTGGTTTGAATTTTTTTTTAATGGCTAAATACTTCTTTCATGTGCCAGTTCTTGGAGTGTTGTGGAATGTACTGTCTGTGTGAACATACAAAGTCATCACTGATTTCGATTCAGATGGCAGTACCATTCAATTTTTATGCATTAATCTTCATTGGCTCAACCTGCTGTAATAGATTTCCTTGGCCTGTGACAAAGGGGAAAATAAGAATACAGTTGCAGAAATATGGATGTTTGTTTAAATATCGAGGAGTTGCAGAATTTGGCTTTGATGGGAACTGAGGAGCAGTGCTGGAAGACGAGAAAGAAGTGTGAGAAGATTGCCCAAAGTTGGAGGTGAAATCAATAGCCCAGGTCAAGTGCATCTACGCTAATGCACGTAGCATGGACAACAAACAGGATGAGCTAGAAGCCATTGTGCGGCAGGACAGCTACGACATAGTAGCCATCACGGAAATGTGGTGGGATGATAGTCATGACTGGAATGCTGCAATGAGCGGCTATAAGCTCTTCAGAAGGAATAGGCAAGGAAGGAGGGGGGGGTGTGGCTGTGTACATTAGGGAGTTGTTTGACTGTATAGAGATAGACTCCAGTGATGATGAAGTTGAGTGTTTATGGGTAAGGGTGAAAGGGAAGGCCAACAAAGGTGATTTTGTGCTGGGAGTCTGCTATAGACCACCCAATCAGGATGAGCAGGTTGATGAAGTATTCTGTAAGCGGCTGGCTGCAGTCTCGCAAATGCCAGCCCTTGTTCTAGTTGGAGACTTCAACTTACCAGACATCTGCTGGGAATATAACACAGCAGAGAGTAGGCAGGCTAGGAGGTTCCTCGAGTGTATGGAGGATAACTTCCTGACGCAGATGGTAGGCGAGCCTACCAGGGGAGGTGCCTTGTTAGACCTGCTGTTGACAAACAAAGAAGGGCCAGTGGGGGATGTGGAGGTCGGAGGCCGTCTTGGGCTTAGTGACCACGAAATGATTAAGTTTTCCATTCTA